AGGTGTGCGCAAGGGGTGTGTCCAGGTCAACTTCCATCGAATTAGCACCCCAATGCAGTTTGTGACAGTTTGGGTTAGATTATTTCTGGTTAGAGATAAAAGTCATGAAAATTAGCTGCATACCTTACACAACGTTATCAACAGGGGGTGGTGGGGGGGGTTGGTTTTGTTTATTTTTCTGATGTTGAAATTAAGTGGCATTTATTCTTCTCTCTATCTTTACAATATGTCAATAAACCCAAATCGTTACAGATCTACCGTATATTTAATGGAAAGGTAATCTTTTCCTGGATTTTGTGATTGTTGCACACTTTCTATATTGTCAGACCACAGTACCGGTTTCCAAAATGCTTGTGGCTTATCTGTTTTGTTACATAGTGGAGACGTTGTGTTGACATCTGTTGACCTTACCAAGTCATGTTCTGCAAGCAACCCCGCACAGTGAGCGGGTGCATAACTACTCGAGTGCCGGATGAATTAGATCCTAAGCAAGGATATGCAGCTGCTGCTGACCAGTCTAAGCAATTCTATGGGAGGTGGGGTTTTTTTGTTACAGATCCTGCCTTGACTTTACTTTCATCTCTAATGAAATTTCAAACAGTGCAAACATGTAGATATCATTTTATAACCTTCCCCTACTCCGTTAGAGGCAATTATCTTTATTTTCGGACCCTCCGTTAACTGCTTAGAGATGCCCCGTTTCTGGTTCCCATTTACGAGCCCATTGTACATTATATTACATTTCAGGGTTACACTCTGAGTGTTGGGTCTCTGACTCGCGGCATTGAGAATGTATCGAATGATATGTCACAGTTAGCCTATGATCAAGAAATAAGTTAGTTTATATAAATTAAGGTTCTGAGACATTTTAAAGAAAACGGAATGGGTGCATAGATTTGAGCACAAATTTAAACCATTATATATTTTCTTAGCAATTAAATTCAGGTAATAAATAACTACATTAAAATTTGCTAAAATAGGTCACCTTCACATTAGTTCATTTATGGCGGAGGTCGTGTTAAAGGAACACTATAGTCACCTAAATTACTTTAGCTAAATAAAGCAGTTTTAGTGTATAGATCATTCCCCTGCAATTTCACTGCTCAATTAACTGTCATTTAGGAGTTAAATCACTTTGTTTCTGTTTATGCAGCCCTAGCCACACCTCCCCTGGCTATGATTGACAGAGCCTGCATGAAAAAAACTGGTTTCACTTTCAAACAGATGTAATTTACCTTAAATAATTGTATCTCAATCTCTAAATTGAACTTTAATCACATACAGGAGGCTCTTGCAAGGTCTAGCAAGCTATTAACATAGCAGGGGATAAGAAAATCTTAATTAAACAGAACTTGCAATAAAGAAAGCCTAAATAGGGCTCTCTTTACAGGAAGTGTTTATGGAAGGCTGTGCAAGTCACATGCAGGGAGGTGTGACTAGGGTTCATAAACAAAGGGATTTAACTCCTAAATGGCAGAGGATTGAGCAGTGAGGCTGCAGGGGCATGTTCTATACACCAAAACTGCTTCATTAAGCTAAAGTTGTTCAGGTGACTATAGTGTCCCTTTAACTTCTTTTTACTTTGGAAATCAACAAAACATTATCTGGTCTGGAGTGCCCGTACCACTACACACAGCTGTTGATATTTTATTAACGGGTGGGCGCACTCTCCCTGGATTTGACTTGTAGTTTTCATTTCTCTTTCATTTAATATCCCTCCTTATTTGTATTACCAGCTAGGTAAGCCTTCGTAGGAAGACCCTGAGGTTTTATTTTCCGTAGCAGCACTCTTTAAAGGACACTTAATTAAGATGAAATGGTCTCAGTGTCTATAGTGTCCTTCCAAGGGTGCCGTTTCCCTGTAGTTTTAAGCCTACTTCTGCAAACTTTACCCTTCCACAGAAATGGCAATGTTTACATGTCAGGGTTTAAATGCCTCTAATGGCCATCATTCTGACAGTAACTAGAATCGCTTCCGTTCAAATAGAATTAAAGCAACAGTCTCCTTTTCACACTACACTGTGATATCCGTGGAATATATTTTCTCGTTTGCATTTGGAGACTGCTGATCCCTGCCACAGAGCTCCAACGTACCTGCCACAGAGCTCCAGGGTACCTGCCACAAAGCTCAAACGTACCTGCCACAGAGCTCCAGTGTAACTGCCACAGAGCTCAAACGTACCTGCCACAGAGCTCCAGGGTACCTGCCACAAAGCTCAAACGTACCTGCCACAGAGCTCCAACGTACACCTTTTGTCTTATGTGAAACACATCTTGCTTGCATGCTAATACACCAGGTGATTCTGGGGGTAACCCAGAGTGTCTGCAATGATGTACAATTGTTTGTGACCCAATTATTTTAAAAGAAAATAGTCATAGTTACTGGTTATTAAAGAAAAATGAAAAAAAAAGGGTATTATATCCTCTTTATATGTTTTTCTAACATGTACAGCTCAGTTATGCTTTTTTTTTATTTTTTTTAATACATAACCCGGCTCACCCTTGCTCCATGGGGCAGCCATCTTTAAGCCCTTTTTGTTCAGACACCCAACCCATCTTAGGACTGGGCACATGATGCTCTGATCATATACGTGCTCTAGATCTTAATAACCTGTGTGGTCTTAGGTCAGATACACATTACGTCTGACTAGAGAAGACAAAGATGGCTCCCCCGTTACAGCAGCAACAAGACAGAATTTGGGCTGAATGCAGCCAGGCATTATTTTTTTTTTTTTTTAAATACATGTGCAGTTGGATTAAAAATACACACAGAGTCTGTAATACAGGTAATCTTTAATTTAACATAATAAAAATGTTCCTTTAACACATTCAGTGCCAGAAGGAAGTGAAATGTATTTACAGAGTGAGCTGAAAGTGTCAATTCCGGGCATTTTAGACTATTGCTGTACAAATAATGTTTTGAAATCCCTTTACAAACCATATTCAGCTCCGTGGATTTTGCTGGCGAAACACAAACAAACATCAAACCATTAATCTGGCAATTGCATTGTTCTTTTGATAAATGTTCCCGCTTTCGATATCATTCTCGGATATTTATTATTGCTTGCTTGAAGCCAAATTCCTTTCCACATATTAAAGCAATTTTTTAAAACTGTTCGATGCAATAGCAAGCTGGTCGTACAGATCTGATTTCTTTTATCATGTGCCTTTCAAAAGCATTCCAGAAAAAGCAGATTTCTCTACAACGCGAAGTTCCAATATCCTGTAGTTACTTTGATAATAATATGTTTGTTTTTACTTACTTCATCCCCACCAGGTAGTCCGCGTTCTCTGTGCAGGCTGGGATACATTTACTTATTCTGAGGCTTTCTTGTGAGCTATGAGCTACTCAACTTTAGATCCAGATCAGGAGCTCAGAAATTTAGACATTTGGAACGAACACTGCTGAGGAGATCTTTAAAACTTTTTTAAAGGGCCCTCCAGATTGGAATTGACCAATTTTAAGGGACACTCTAGGCATCACAACCACTTTATCTCATTGAAGTGGTTATGATGCCTGGTGTCCTTTGGAACCAGCTGATGGTCAGTGTTAAAGTTTTATCACTCGGTCCGAGTGGCAATGATGACCATTCTCATCTGTCCATGGCTGGTCCAACTTGACGTGCATAAGGCAGAGGCCGGCCTGCAGGGATTAAACAACCTGCACTTAGTGCTAAACTATTCAGAAATGTCAGTCAGTTTCAGTGAGATAAAAGTGTTTATGGTGCCTAAATATGCCTTTAATGGATTGTATAGATTACAGCCTTCAGCTGTACTAAATCTAGGGCGTAGCTATCACGAGCCTCTTATTAGAATTTATAGAGAACATTTGAACATATTTAACCTATAGACAGTAAGCTTGTTTGAGCAGGAGCGTCACCTCTTATCTCGGTTATATTCCGTTTGTTAATTACATGTTGTCAAATATCTATGCTATAATTGTAAAGTGCTGCAGAATATTGTGGCGCTATACAACTGATAAAAAGAATAATAAATATATATAAAAATAATAACCCAACAGTAAAGGATTAAAGTGTAGGGGGAAAAAACTAAAACACACACAAAAAAGTAACAGAAAGAGACATGATGACGCCTTACGGTGAGTGGTTTTCGGCATCTCCATCCTATTTGCCAAAATGTGTATCACCCCTGGGTCATTGCGCATGCACAAGAATGTATATGCGGGATAATCACAAATGACATTTTTATTTAAGTTCAATTAATGGCTAGGGCAAAAGAATAACAAAAATCTGCTGTTTTTCACAAATGTGAAACTTAGAAAAGAACATTCGGTTTTTGTGTAAAATAAATCGAAATGTACATATTGCGCATGCACCATCACACAGCTCTTCTCAGCAGACCAAAAGTTACATTTATTTTTAAGAGCATTGATATTCCATTTCACTGAGTGTCTACAGAGCTAATAGAAAGTCCTCTGCCCCTGTAATGGGTTAGTAAATATTAAGAGATGGGGGGCAGTATGTACAATTTCCAAGTAGAAACAATATCTTTCAGTCCATTTATCTAGCATTCATAAGACGATACACAAGCATTTATCTCTCTGAAAGATGTTACTTTATTAACCCTTTCATTGCCGGTACAGTTGCTGACTCTCCTACAATGAGTGTGCGTCAATGACTATAGTATTCAATTCGTTTTTAACCTTTAAAATATATCCTCCGCCAGCAATGTCCCCAGCCCTCTTCCAGCAAAGAAAGATTTGTGTATCAATCCAGAAGAATAGCTCACATATCTTTCCGGCAACAAAACGGTTAGTTTTAACAGACAGGTGCTTAAACATCTGCCATTTATTTTGCGCAATGGCGTGTCCCGGTGCCCATATTAGGAAAGTCACATTCCAGCTATGCAACTAATCCGTGAGCCTCCTCCTTTACCAGGATTCATGTCATTGCTTGACTCATCCCAAACTATAGAACGCCAGAGAAACAGCCAAAAATAGATTTATAAAACAAAAAAAATATTAAATATAACGTGCATGTGTAGCGAGTACAGACCAGCGAAACGCTTTTTTTCTCCCCCAAGAATTTAGCTCAGGTTTTGAAAGAATTTGTCTTTTTACAATGTAAAGAAACATTTTTCAGCATCAGCTCGTAGACAGGTAAGGACATGTGTCTACGTTTAAACAGGGCTTGTCTGCTATGTTGAACATAGCTTGTCAATACCTTCCTTCTGTTGCACAATACGAACTGTAAACACCACGAGGAAAGCACCACGGACGATACAGGAGACGTGCCGATTAAAAAGATAAAAAATATCACATCAAGGTTTTTTTTATTTTATCCATCGTCTGTCTAGGAAAACCGTGAAATAGAGAAAAATAGATTTCCGAGGATCATTTAGTTAGAGAAACCCGGATCGGACGTGTAATATGGAATAATGGCAGAGGACTCTGGATAGACGAAGCAGATAAAAAGGTAAGAAGCACCGCGTCGGGTTTCATTTATTTCGGAGTCTGTTTGTTCCATCAATGTGTGAACAAATAAGAAGATGGAATTATTTCCTTTTGTACCAATTAATTATGGAGATTTGTGATCCGTGCACATATATTTTTTCTCTTGGATAAATAGATGCACTTGGCAAACAAGTCATTTTTATTAATTTTTTGGGGTAAAATGTTAAGTAGGTTTTACTCTATGTCAGTAGTTCGTTTAAGAATTCTGTTTTCAGGAAGGTGCGGGCACTACACAATGCTCGCCAACAGTTGGAACTGGGTTTAAAAAGTCAAATTTTGGAGCAAAGTTCTAAAAGCAGAGACTTTCGAAGGGACAATTTGCTGTTTTACAGCTTTATTCTTCTTTGTACCTAACCTGCATGTTGTGTTTCTAGAATAGTTTAATAGATTTGTAGCTCCAAAATGATGGGGTGGGTGGTTTCTAAAAATGTTGCAAAAAAATAGGGCAAAATTTTGTGGGGCAATTACCATGGAAACCAATAATCCCCCCGTTGGTTTCCATTATGAATCTTTTACTGTATTATAATATATGTTGATGTGATAAATATGTTTATATATTTATATGGAATAGGTCTTTATGTAGAATAATCGATTAATACAATGAGTCTTGTTTAATAATCCTATTGGTGGCATGTTGGCTGCTCCTAAAGTCAGATGGTCAGAATACAATTAATGGGATTTGGAGGAGAGGAGGGTTATAACTTTCAGGGCAAAGCGAAGATTCAGAATCTGAGGTTCTAGGTGTCGCTTCAAGAAATTGGAAAAGAAAGAATTCAATGTCTTTATAGCAGATCTAGTGGTAGAGCAATGTTACCAATGAGTAATGTGGATTCATTCGATATTAGAATTGCCTCAGGGCATGAAAAGATTTTTTCTAATTGTGATGAATTGTAAAGGGCATCACTGAGGTGGGATCTGCCTTTTGCTACGTTGATAAATGGATATGGTTAATACAGACAAATGTAACTGTATGGACACATTTTACCGTAGAACTATATACAATGAAAGCATATTGTCTTCCAGTAAGCACTGTTCAAAATCTGAGATTACTTGTCTAAATTAATATTCACATAGAGATACACACACACTATATATATATATATATATATATATATATATAATCTCTAGGAAATCTTGCATATAATTGCTTGTAGGATTATACAGCGTTTGGGCATATTTGTATAGAGTTTAAATTATGGAATTAACGCGGCACTTTGTGAGCAATGTCGCACAATACGTGATTTTTGTAAGATATTACCAATACCGGTAGCCCGGGATGACTTGCGCAGTGAGTACATGACTGCATCATGCGCCACGACCCTCTTTGTCTGCTGTCAACAATGGGCTGTCACAAGAAAATCCATCCAGGGAACTGTGGACATGTAAGGGTTAATGAGGGGCTGAAAATCCCTGCAAATTGCTCCCACCTGTGGCAAAGACATGAGGCAATAAAGAAATTAACTCTCTTGGGTCTATTGATGTCTGGGGGTAAGCCCTCCTCACCCAGGTGGGATGTATGGGGTGGAGAGGATCCTTCCCTGTGGGTGCTGGTATTGTGCCTGGAGAAACACTTCTTAACACGAGTGAGGGGTAATAAAACATTCTGGCTGCAGGGGGTTTGGTGCAATGAATGAGCAGCTATGTAGAATACAAGGTTAATCAGCCCTATTCCCCACACATGCAACGATGCATTGCTGGGCTGCTATTTAGGCAACACACATTCAGCCCTGCTGTAAACATCCTGTATATTTAAAAAAATAAATAGAAAACGAAGTAGCTATTTTACTGCCAAAAAGTTTTCTTGAGTGTGGTGTCAGGATCAAATACACACCGTGTTTCCACATGCAATGGCTGCCTGTGTGCAGTGTCAGTACATAAGCCGGTGTTTGTGAACACTTAGTGTCCTAGAGATGGCACGTGTTAGCGTGTGCAGTGTCAGTGAATGTATTCCAAGGTGTGAAAATCCATGGTAGTGTGGCAGTGTTTGCATGCGCAGTGTTAGTGGTAGCGTGGCAGTGTTTGCATGCGCAGTGTTAGTGGTAGCGTGGCAGTGTTTGCATGTGCAGTGTGAGTGGTAGCGTGGCAGTGTTTGCATGCACAGTGTTAGTGGTAGCGTGGCAGTGTTTGCATGTGCAGTGTTAGTGGTAGCATGGCAGTGTTTGCATGCACAGTGTTAGTGGTAGCATGGCAGTGTTTGCATGCGCAGTGTTAGTGGTAGTGTGGCAGTGTTTGCATGCGCACTGTTAGTGGTAGCGTGGCAGTGTTTGCATGCGCACTGTTAGTGGTAGTGTGGCAGTGTTTGCATGCGCAGTGTTAGTGGTAGCGTGGCAGTGTTTGCATGCGCAGTGTTAGTGGTAGCGTGGCAGTGTTTGCATGCGCAGTGTTAGTGGTAGCGTGGCAGTGTTTGCATGTGCAGTGTGAGTGGTAGCGTGGCAGTGTTTGCATGTGCAGTGTTAGTGGTAGTGTGGCAGTGTTTGCATGCGCAGTGTTAGTGGTAGTGTGGCAGTGTTTGCATGCGCAGTGTTAGTGGTAGCGTGGCAGTGTTTGCATGCGCACTGTTAGTGGTAGTGTGGCAGTGTTTGCATGCACAGTGTTAGTGGTAGCGTGGCAGTGTTTGCATGCACAGTGTTAGTGGTAGCGTGGCAGTGTTTGCATGCGCAGTGTTAGTGGTAGCATGGCAGTGTTTGCATGCACAGTGTTAGTGGTAGTGTGGCAGTGTTTGCATGCGCAGTGTTAGTGGTAGTGTGGCAGTGTTTGCATGCGCAGTGTTAGTGGTAGCGTGGCAGTGTTTGCATGCGCAGTGTTAGTGGTAGTGTGGCAGTGTTTGCATGCGCAGTGTTAGTGGTAGTGTGGCAGTGTTTGCATGCGCAGTGTTAGTGGTAGCGTGGCAGTGTTTGCATGCGCACTGTTAGTGGTAGTGTGGCAGTGTTTGCATGCGCAGTGTTAGTGGTAGCGTGGCAGTGTTTGCATGCACAGTGTTAGTGGTAGCATGGCAGTGTTTGCATGCGCAGTGTTAGTGGTAGTGTGGCAGTGTTTGCATGCACAGTGTTAGTGGTAGCATGGCAGTGTTTGCATGCACAGTGTTAGTGGTAGTGTGGCAGTGTTTGCATGCGCAGTGTTAGTGGTAGTGTGGCAGTGTTTGCATGCACAGTGTTAGTGGTAGCATGGCAGTGTTTGCATGCACAGTGTTAGTGGTAGTGTGGCAGTGTTTGCATGTGCAGTGTTAGTGGTAGCGTGGCAGTGTTTGCATGCACAGTGTTAGTGGTAGCATGGCAGTGTTTGCATGCACAGTGTTAGTGGTAGTGTGGCAGTGTTTGCATGCGCAGTGTTAGTGGTAGCGTGGCAGTGTTTGCATGCGCACTGTTAGTGGTAGCGTGGCCGTGTTTGCATGCGTAGTGTCAGTGGTGGCGTGGCCAAGTTTGCAAAAGCAGTGTTAGTGGTAGCGTGGCAGTGTTTGCATGCACAGTGTTAGTGGTAGCGTGGCAGTGTTTGCATGTGCAGTGTTAGTGGTAGCATGGCAGTGTTTGCATGTGCAGTGTGAGTGGTAGCGTGGCAGTGTTTGCATGCACAGTGTTAGTGGTAGCGTGGCAGTGTTTGCATGTGCAGTGTTAGTGGTAGCATGGCAGTGTTTGCATGCACAGTGTTAGTGGTAGCATGGCAGTGTTTGCATGCGCAGTGTTAGTGGTAGTGTGGCAGTGTTTGCATGCGCACTGTTAGTGGTAGCGTGGCAGTGTTTGCATGCGCACTGTTAGTGGTAGTGTGGCAGTGTTTGCATGCGCAGTGTTAGTGGTAGCGTGGCAGTGTTTGCATGCGCAGTGTTAGTGGTAGCATGGCAGTGTTTGCATGTGCAGTGTGAGTGGTAGCGTGGCAGTGTTTGCATGCACAGTGTTAGTGGTAGCGTGGCAGTGTTTGCATGTGCAGTGTTAGTGGTAGCATGGCAGTGTTTGCATGCACAGTGTTAGTGGTAGCATGGCAGTGTTTGCATGCGCAGTGTTAGTGGTAGTGTGGCAGTGTTTGCATGCGCACTGTTAGTGGTAGCGTGGCAGTGTTTGCATGCGCACTGTTAGTGGTAGTGTGGCAGTGTTTGCATGCGCAGTGTTAGTGGTAGCGTGGCAGTGTTTGCATGCGCACTGTTAGTGGTAGCGTGGCAGTGTTTGCATGCGTAGTGTCAGTGGTGGTGTGGCCAAGTTTGCAAAAGCAGTGTTAGTGGTAGCGTGGCAGTGTTTGCATGCACAGTGTTAGTGGTAGCATGGCAGTGTTTGCATGTGCAGTGTGAGTGGCAGCGTGGCAGTGTTTGCATGCGCAGTGTTAACGGGAGTATAATGTGAGTGTGAGCAGTGGATATGAAGTACTAGTGTCGTGTCAGTGTATATGTGAGTGCAGCCTCATCGAGTGTATGCGGTACAATTCTTCTCCCATATTAGACCCCCGTTGCAGATTGCCCTACCCCCAACCGGTGAAGATAACCGCGTACAAACTGGAGTAATTCCACTGACACAGCAATATATAAAAGTTCTACAGATAACATAGCTCCTAGTAGGGAAAGGTTCACCCAGTGATAGGCTCCTCAGAAGTTAAAGAATAGATCACATGTGGCCAGACCAACCTTGTTAGGCAAAAACCTGGCTTATCATCCTTTTCCCACGAGACCTCCAGTCCACTTATTGTTGCTACCCTTCCCATTCCCTAGGCTCAGTGTACACACGCCACTACAGATGTTCTTAATTTGGGAAATCTGGATGACCCCAGAAGACCAGGGCTTGGGTGGTAGTCCCATTCACCCCTCCCAAAGAGCGGACCTGATAGACACATCAAAGATTGCTCTCATTAGAACATGCAGTCTTTTAATTGCCGCTGTGATGATGCCTATGTTTAACATTTTAAAATCCAGTTGTGGGCAAAGCCTGTAAAATGTTGAGGACTTGTAAACACAAAGAATGTACAATGAAATAACTTGAAAAGTGGCGCCTATTTACTAAACTGTGAACTATAAGTTAAAATGGGGTGCTGCGGAATTTCTTAAACCCGTACATGATGCCAAGTCATACCAACCCCCCCAAAACAACTCTTTAGCCAACATTACGGCCTCATACCTTACTCTCAGAAGATGTGCTCACTGTTCCAGAACATCCCATCAATGTTTGGCCACAATTAGTCACATGGTGACCACAGTCTATGTGATCTGACTCATCAAGTGTTCCTTGCTAATTGCTGTGTGCTGGTTAATATAAACTAATCAGAAGTAGTAATATTGTCATTTAAATGCACAAAGTGCAGTAATACAGCCTTTAAAAGTGGATTCAAAGCCTAAAGCAGGTGATGGCCACCTGCCATTGCGTCATAGGAAATATTGTTCAGGAACATCTGGCTTTCTCACAGGTCATGTTTTCGGCTAATTGGCAAACCCACCCCTCACCTCCCCCCAAAAAAACATTTACGATTACAGGCACTCCACCAATCCTATTAATTCTGCCAATGATTTTCTCTATACATTGTTCTAACTGCCAGCAAATATTTATATTAATAGCCATTTTAAAAAGAAAAATTCCCAGTTTTCCTCCCTGGTCGCCTATAATCTGCTTTTCGTGGGCCAGCTACAGGGTGAGGAATCGAAGTTTGTGTCTCTGTGGCCAGACACCCAAAGCAGACAGTGGGGTGACTTACTTTTTTTTAAAAATATCTTGTACATTTGCGGCTCATCCAATCAGATAACACAATGCTTAGGGAATTCTACTAACAGATTATAACAAAGCACAATCCTTTTAAAAACAAGAAAAGTTCAAAGAAAACTTTTTTAAAAAGTCTGTCCGCCAACACCACCACACTTAGAATGGATATTCCTATCAATGAACTGACAACTGCCAGAACTACTGTCCCGACAGATCAATAGTCCATCAAACTAGAAAATGTTCTTAAGTACAAATTGCCGTCTCTGGCTGGATTTGCGGGAGGATGTCTGCCTGACCTCTATGTGCTTTTAGTTGACATATTAGAGAGCGCTGTTTCCTATCTGGGATCAGAGGCCAGAGCAAACCACAAGATGCTTTCATCACAGGACATCGGCACTAAAATGGTTAAATCCATGTGGACATAGGATTTATAATGCATACATTTAATCCCAAGCTGTATCTGTAGGAGTAGTTTCCTTGATTTGGCTGTAATATAGACATTGATGGCTAGCAATAGCCACAGAACATCCGTTCAAGTCAGATCTAGAATGCAAGCTCATAGAGCAGGGCCCTCGACACCCTCTTATGTGTCCAACCCATCTCATCGCAAATACAGCGCTACGGAATTTGTTGGCGCTCTATAAATAATAATCTGTCCTGGAGATACACGCTGTCCAGAGGATGGGACTAAAGGGGACACTTTCCCCGTTTCACACCAAAAACTCTGTGATCCCTTCTATGCCTGGATAATGATTTATAAAGCGTCAACAAATTCCGTAGGGGATCAAACCTGTCAGTCATTGCTCAGTGTTTAATAACATGATCCCATCACTATCTGGGCCAGGGAAACGTTATAACTGTAATCCATGCAGACAGCAGCAAGCAGATTTATATTCACCCAATACAGCTCTGGAAGTACTACTACATAGTGGGGGGAACTAAACCATCAATTCGTCCTGAATAATTATCAATGTTTTTACATTTGCCCCTTTTGTGAAAAGTCTGCTGAACATGCCAAAGATTATAGACACAACTAAATGCAAGAAAACAGACTTAATGGGGACCGCCATCACATATCCCCAGCAATGAAACAGTTAAAGAGACGCCATTAGATACACACTTCACACGGATGAATTGAGATACACACTATCCTTGGCCATCACTGCCAGGTTCAGACTTGGCTTGGGATCAGTGTAGGGTGGTATTGGCATTCCATCAATGGGTGCATGTTCTGTACATGTCTGTCCCTGCCCATTCACACGGTATGGGCTGGTCCCCTGTGTGGAACAAATGGTGAAAGGGCTGGAGACGGTGCACCCTTCTCAACAACAATCCTTCTAATCATGGGAGAATCACTACACAAGGTGTGGTTTGCCCTTATTAACTCATCTAAATGAATAATGTGCTTACAATACAGTGTGTGTGTCTTCGAGTTCCACATGGTATGACTACAACTACTCTTCACCGGGTGAACTTTCCTTTATATTATTTATTTAAAGACGGGATGATTAATATACACTTATTTCCTTGTATCTAGTGGAGTACAGCACATTCTGACAGGGTTTTACTATGATACAGTGCTCACACCGTACAAAGATTAAAGACAATAGTTTGTCGTTTGTTTATTATACTACATGTGTTTGTGAATTTGCTGCACAACTGAGAACCGATGAGTGATGTTGATGGTAAAAAGCGAGCGGTGAAGAGAGGGCACTGACTGTGGAGCAGGGGAGACAGCAGCCATAGTGGTTACAGAAGATAGATGAGCTAGCACTGGTGGTCTTCAAGAAAAGATAAGACAGTGGTGGGAGACTGTTGAAGATGCAACAAGACTGTGATGAATGTTATGAAAGAAACAGGATGAGAGCAGGGAGACCGCGGAGACAGATTGCAAAAGATAGGGAGACCGCGGTGGTGGGTCTGGATAAGACAGGGAGACCGCGGTGGTGGGTCTGGAAAAGACAGGGAGACCGCGGTGGTGGGTCTGGAAAAGACAGGGAGACCGCGGTGGTGGGTCTGGAAAAGACAGGGAGACCGCGGTGGTGGGTCTGGAAAAGACAGGGAGACCGCGGTGGTGGGTCTGGAAAAGACAGGGAGACCGCGGTGGTGGGTCTGGAAAAGACAGGGAGACCGCGGTGGTGGGTCTGGAAAAGACAGGGAGACCGCGGTGGTGGGTCTGGAAAAGACAGGGAGACAGCAAGAGGATATTGGCTTAACATTTGCTTAAAACATAACAGGACAAATAAGGATAAGATTAATACAGTAGCAGTATGTGCCTATAATTTGTATACTCTCTTAACCAAAATGTCCTGTAATCTGTTGTTTCAATCTTTTTAGGTAAGAATTTAGGTATGTGTTAACTGAGCCAATATTAATAATTCATTTTCACAGAGCAGACAGAATCAGCAGCTGATACACAGGGGTTACTATTGACCCATCTCAATGGTCCTCGTTTTACCTACCTAGAAAGGATGAAATCCTAAACTCACCATGCTGGGATCAAAACCTACTATCCTCAGGATTTAACGAGCTCATCACTTGGTCTATTAACCGTGTGACCCATCTTCCTGACCTAATCCTTCTCCTGGCAAGCAGAGATACAGCGTTACTTGGCTGCAAAATGAGAGCTCCTCAGTGATTCACTTTTTGATTTATTTTACTTAATAGCCAGGGATTTGGTTTATGCAGTGAATTATTCCACAGGAAGTAGGTTCAGTTATAAATATCTGGGAAGGAGTTACCCAAGCACATATCTTGGTGGTAATCTAGACAACGTTATTTATACAGAGACAGAATCCAAATGCTAAGTTCCACATGGAAAGTGTGTTAGCATGCAAAGAGAACAGGATGCATTCAAAACATCAAAGTACGATTTGCTCCTGTTCACAATCTTTTGATGATGGATCATGGGTAGAAAAGTGATGGTGCATCCTCCAGATGGGCCAGAACCAGGGGGTTTGCCATTAGTAAAACAGTAATACATATTTACACCCCAACATATTGACACCTAAGTTTGTCTTTTAAACTGCTCTTGGACAACATTTCCCAGAGTTCCTTGTGTCATGGTTGTAGTTACCCTTACACACCGGAAAGAGAATACAAATAAGGGTCCAAAAGCCATATTAACAGGTCTTAGAGGGGCCGGACATAATGCTCTAATAGATAGAATTAAAGTCAGTAGTAGCTGAGGTCAGAAATACAGAGATACGGATACACGAAAACTAAGCCAGGTCATGATACCAGATATACACAAGTCAATATACAAGCCAGGTCACGATAGCAGATACCCACGGGTCAATATACAAGCTGGGTCACGATACCAGATACCCACGGGTCAATAGATAAGCCGTGTCACAATACCAGATATACACAGGTCAATATACAAGCCTGGTCACGATAGCAGATATACACAAGTCAATATACAAGCCTGGTCACGATAGCAGATATACACAAGTCAATATAAAAGCCAGGTCATGTGTGTTCAGTGTGTGTGTGACTGTGTGTGTGTCTTGAAGAACTGTGACAGCTATCTCTATTGCCCAAACAGTAGTCCATGATAGGAAATGTCGATATAAGTCATCATAAGTGACAAAAAGTCAGCTTTTACATTCACACGAGGTAGCTCACACCCCAGTAGTTTAGTTAATGAATTTTTGGAAAAATTCCTATTCTGTGTTCACCACCCCATCCACTACCCTGTGACAGAGGACGAAGAATGCCAACTAATCAGTACATGATCTTGTATGGTGTCATGTCCTGCACACCATGCACCTTCTATGCTTCTTCTACAACAGCAAGAGTGGGTTTACTTCATTCATGAAAAAAACATGAATAAAACTACACCGCAATTCCACAGGAGCCACTTGGCACTGTTATTATCACTATTATCACATAGCATAAAATAAAATTAACAATAACTAATTATTGTCTTTTTTTCCAAGTTTTAATTATATAACCAAAACTGAACCAAGATATGATCAGCTTATCTCTTCTGATGTAATATTTATAAACCAGATTTCCACACCTTACGTCTTCATGTTTAGTCAATAAATCTTTACTTATTGCACAGGTAGACGTATATCTCTGTTAGCCCACAAGACAATTTACTTTGACTGCTGTCTCATTATATAATAAGAGGACGGATAAACACAATCTGTTATCTGATTTATGGGTTCTTTCATATTCCTGCAGCATCATGCACGGTTTCCCTGGGGGGGTCCGGGGAAGACGACATGGGAATGGCAGTAAGATAGATCATTTCTCTTAAGAAACAGACTATCTCAGCCGCTCAGCAAATTTAAATTTGACTGTAATTGTGTTAGAAGGAAAGACTTGCACATTCAACAATTCTAGCCTCCTCCTGGAGACACAGTCAATCTTTCAAATAACACAGTGGGAAGACATTTACTGTGATTATTCAACTCCACATTTAGCCTAAGCCACAAAGCAGCAAACTATGTACAGATGAGGGAGGTATTGTTTTTGGCAGCAAAAATGCTGGGAATATAACTCTTCAGAAACCGTTTTATTAGAAGACCGTGAAAGGAACTACTCACAAACCCACTTAAAATGGCTGGAATAATAGCTATGCCTCATGTTGTTCCACCCTGTACATTTTATTAAGAAATCGGTGCTTAATTGTATTTTAAACAGAATATAAAAATTATATTGAACCTATTTTACATAAAACATACCTTAAAACAGCAAGCAAAATAATAGATGCAATAGACATGACTGGCACAGGAATTAATTTTAGCATGGAGGATTCCATTTTTTAAAATTGTTTTTAAACTTTAAATTTCATTTATCTTTCTGTTAAAGCCCCAAATAATCGGTTTTTGAGCAGACTTTTGAAGACACCCTTTGTTAGTAAAAGATAGAATGTTACTGCAGGTAAAACCCAATTGTGCCTTGCTGTTCACTATACACATAGTCTGCCCATTACATATTGCAGTGGTCCTCCATTCTCATGGAACACCAATGGTCCAGGTTTGGTCAGTAAACCTAGACTGGAACTGGAAACCTTCTTAGACTTCTTATCAATGTTACTGACGGAAATGGAGCAAAGTCCAAAAAGTGGAGCAATGTCCAAGGAAACAACTGGAGCATTATTTAGGATCTCCTGATGATTGCTACATTTTTAGAAATTTGACCATTTATAAATCTCCCCCTGTCGCAATCATTCTGCCAAACAATCCAATCCTCCTCCGGCTCATCTCGTCACCATTTTCTTACATTCTGTGAGGGCTGATTTTAAAATAGGATTATGATCCGGATTAGGTCGGAGGAAGTAAACCTGACAATGGAGCAGTTTTCAGAATTACTGTTTTGGGTGTTTTCCCTGTTTGATGGATGTAATTGCTCAGTGGGTGTTAGTTGGAATAATATTGCTTCATATTCTGCTTTAAAAAGTGATCACGTATTGTGTTGCTCATTTTCTAATTCCTGTGATAAAATCGACTTATTTAAAAGACTTTTATGGAATTTACTTCTGTTCCACAGTTTTGCTATGTTCGTTTCACCTTCAGCCATCAGAAAATGAGCCTTGATAATGCTCAGGGCCGGATTAACATAGGGGCTGATGGAGCTGTAGCTCCAGGCCCATGCCCATGGGATAGGCCCATTAATTTAAAGAAAATATATTTTTTTATTTTTTTCTACACATGCCTCATAGGGTTGCCACCTGGCTGGTATTTTATGGTATTTGAGACTGCCTGGCTGGTGCGAGTATTGCCTTATTAACGGGCAATACGAATGCCGGTATATTTCTTAGTAGAAACGGAGATTACTCTACAATACCAGCACCAGCCAGTAAGGGGTCACTGTCTGTGGAGGCAGAGATAGGAAGTTACAGCACGTCCCTCCCTGCCTCTCTCTACTCGCTGATCCGCAAGGGAACAGCTACACAGCACAGAGAGTCCAGACAGCAGCTTCCAACCTGCAGAGACAAACTACAGCTCAGGGAAGTGAAGGATGGGGGAAAGGCTGCAGAGAGACATGGAGACACTAGGGGACACTGTGTGACCTGGGGACACTGAGAGACCTGAGGATGCTGGGAGACACAGACATTAGGAGACGCTGTAAAACACTAGGGGACGCTGAGGCACTTGGGTACACTGGGAGACATAGGGACACTGAGACACTGTGTCCCTAGTGTCTGTGTCCCCATGTCTCCCTAAGTCTCTGTGTCCCCATATCTCCCAGCCAGTGTCCCTAGTGTCTCAATGTCCCCATGTCTCCCAGTGTCCCTATGTCTCACTGTCTCACGGTGTCCCCTAGTGTCCCAATGTCTCACAGTGTTCCCATGTCTCTTAAATGTCCCCTAGTGTCCAAGTGACACTGGGAGACATAGGGCACTGAGACATAGGGCACTGAAACACTGTGATACATAGGGGACACAGACACTAGGGGATACTGGGAGACATGAGTACACTGGAAGAGTAGGAGGATACTAAGACACTTGGAGATAGGGAGACACTGGGAACAATCCATCTTTTATTCAGCAGAATAAATGTAAGACTTTTTTTGAGATTTTACAGAATTTTCTCTTGTCACTCCTTGTGATTTACATGAATACGTAATTAATTATGCAAATTAGTAAGGCCAATATTTTTTCCCAAGAAAGGTGGAAACCCTAACTATTCTTCACATACTATTGCTTAAGTATGGAAACTTGTGTGGACTGGCTAACAATTAAATCAGTTTAGGTAATGCAGACTTTGGTCTCTCTAACACTGTGGCATGTCCCCTTTCTTCTACACTAACTACATGCACCTTTTCTCTGTCCCAGACTATATACCAGGAGCTTCTACCTGCTTGTAAGAAGGTAAGGAGACAAGTGGATATGTGAGTGCTAGGGGACAGTCCTTAAAGAAGCATGGAGCAAAAACATAATTAGATGCATTTATGCCAAGCTCAGGGTGCTGTCTGCATAGTATGCCCTTAGTTGGCCAGCCTGCAGGATTGGCGGGCAGCCTGACATGCATTCATGCCAGGCTGGCCTTCCAATTCTTTGGGCAGACATATCCTCTTTTTAAGGCATGTTCGCCTCTTTCAGCAGTTCTGATTACATGATTCGCATCAGTGGCCCACCCTTTTACCCGCCCATTGACTGCCTGCTTCACTGGACACTGCTGTTAGGGGTTATGGATTTACTTGAAAGCATAAATGAGAGAGAGATTAGCATTGAGTATGTGTTTTCTGTATATTATGAGTTTCCCTCCAGCACCACTTCCGCCAGATACATGACGCTTGGAAGGTATGACTGTTTTAGTGTTTTTGGACGATAAGATTCTGTAATTAGACCCATCATAATTGTCAGCACCAGGCCCACTGGGTTCTTAATTTGGCCCTGATAATGCTAATTCAAATTAGAATCTCATTGTGTTCAAAGTTATCAAAATTACTGTGTATCTGTACCGTAACATCCTATATTCCGTGCATCGGTATCATAACATCCTATATTCCGTGCATCGGTATCATAACATCCTATATTCCGTGCATCGGTATCATAACATCCTATATTCCGTGCATCGGTATCATAACATCCTATATTCCGTGTATTGGTACCGTAACATCCTATATTCCGTGCATCGTACCATAACATCCTATATTCCGTGTATCGGTATCATAACATCCTATATTCTGTGTATCTGTACCGTAACATCCTATATTCCGTGTATCGGTACCATAACATCCTATATTCCGTGTATCGGTACCGTAACAGCCTATATTCCGTGTATCGGTACCATAACATCCTATATTCCGTGCATCGGTACCGTAACATCCTATATTCCGTGTATCGGTACCGTAACATCCTATATTCTGTGCATCGATATCATAACATCCTATATTCCGTGCATCGGTATCGTAACATCCTATATTCCGTGTATCCATAACATCCTATTCCGTGTATCGGTACCGTAACATCCTATATTCCGTGTATCGGTACCGTAACATCCTATATTCCGTGCATCGTACCATAACATCCTATATTCCGTGTATCGGTATCATAACATCCTATATTCCGTGTATCTGTACCGTAACATCCTATATTCCGTGTATCGGTACCATAACATCCTATATTCCGTGTATCGGTACCGTAACATCCTATATTCCGTGCATCGGTACCATACAGGGGCGTACCTAGAGCATTTGGCATAGGGCGGATCCTGTGCAGCACCCCCGTAAAAAACCTGTAAAAATTTAAGGTTCATTTCTTACAATTGTAAGACTCCTGTCCAATACAAAACCCCCCCTTCTACAAAATCCTGCAGCCCCACACACACATTTACTTCACAACTCAGTTACAGGCAGACAGTCACATACAGTCACAGGCAGACAGTCACACATACAATCCTCCGTGCGGCCAGTTTATCAGCTGTTTGCTTGTGTGAGCTGTACTGCACGGCACCCTAACTACCATGGGACACTGTGCGGCCACAGCTCACACAGCCCCCTCCAGCCAGGGCCGGTGCAAGGATTTTTGCCGCCCTAGGCAAAAGTAAAGTTTGCC